ACATATTCAAATGCTTGCTTGTTACATCAATAAACAGTGTCCGTTAGGAATTTTCTGTTCATTTGAAAGTTGAATGATGGGGTGCCTGGGTTGCTCAGTCTGTTGAGCATCCAACTTTGGCTCGGGTCATGATCTCACAGTTCACTGGGTTTGAGCACCTCACGGGGCTCTGTTCTGACAGCTTGGAGCCTGCTTCAGATTCTCCCTCCCTCCCTCTGTCTCTGTCTCTCTCTCTCAAAAATAAACATTAAAAAGAAAAAAGCCAAATGATTCCCTACAATCTTTGTTTGTCACCCTCCCATAATAATTTAAGATTGACCACTGGGGCCATTGCTTTAATCACATAATGGCCAGTCTTCATGTTCCTAAGGAACTGAAGCTGTTGAAATGAAAATATAAAGAAAAAAAAAATCAGGCTTCTGTTTTTCTTTTTGTTAAATGGAATGATAAATTTCATACAACCCAAATACTCAATTTGTAACTATCGTAATGACCTAGGTGATACAAAAATTGTCACCAGAATTATCAGCATGTTTCTACATCTTGGCTAAAAGCCCAGAAAGTATGGATTTACAGAATGAAAATCTGGAGTGTGTTATAAAAACTATAAATACTATTCTCATGGAGGGAAACGTGTATTTGGAGGCAGAAACTCTTAAAAGGAAATTGTACAATTTTCATAAACATAATTTTCTTGAAGATATTTTCCTATCTTATTTAGCTCTGGTTAACCGAAATAAAATAATGATTGCTCCTGGAAAACAAAACCAAATTAAATACCTGCCCTCATTGTGGAGGTTCAGTACTTTTTTTAAGCTGATTTATTTATTTTGAGAGAAAACAGACATGTTTTGGGGGAGGGGCAGAGACAGAGGGAGACAGAATCTCAAGCAGAACTCCCTGCTCTGAGCACAGAGCCTGATGGAGGTGGGTCTTGAACTCACAAAATTGCGAGATCATGACCTGAGCCGAAACCAAGAGTCAGTCGGATGCTCAACTGACTGAGCCACGTAGGGTCCCCATGACTTTGAGTATTTTATGTGTGTTTTTCAGTCTTGGTTTCTCCAGAAAGTAGACCTCAGACCATTTTTTTCAAAGGTACATCAGGTTTCCATTAGATTTTTATGGAGAAAGGAGTTTTCATCCTATAATCTTAAAAGGTTAATCTATTAATGAGATCCTAATTAACCATCTCATAATATTGTGTGTCATGCAATTTCAAGTTGTACTTCTGTAGTTGATAAGATATCACATGGGGGGAGGGGAAGGAGAGAGCAAAAAGAGAGATCCGTTAAATAATGTGTTGATGGTAACTTAAAGCCACGTGAAGCCCCAAAAGTTGAGCTCATGGAAGTGTCACTATCCTTAGAATATACAAAGTTGTTGGCTGCATTAAGTTATTCTGTGACAGTATCACAGCCGTGTGAAATTTATGAAAATCCTCGCTGAAAAATTCAATCATATAGTTATACTGCTGGTGACAACTTAGTTTTATCTAAACAACATCATCAGTGATAACGTATTAAGCCTGGTGTTTTGATAAATGTAAGCTTTACATTTTTATTGATGTATTTTGTGATTTTTTAAAAGTCCTGTAAGGGCTAAGTTTCTTGTTATACATAATTAAAATAACTTACATCAAAATGAGTCATTTGTAAGAGAATACGATACATGGTACAATATGTGATATATGGTACATTCTTGACAAATTTTGTGAAACACTACCACCCAGAATCAGAATGATACTTATGTCTCAACCAGGCCCTTTCCCTGTACTGGTTCTCCCATGTATTCAGCTAGCCATTAAATGTGGAGGTTAAATTGTAGTCTCCTCTCCTAAAGTAGCTCAGGAATTTCTGCAGAAAATAAGGGCATTTGTTAGGGTATACCCAAAATTTCTCAATGCACCATAAATCTTGATTAGTGCCTAGAAATCCAGAAGTTACTTTGCAGAGATGGAAAGAAACCCCATGAACAATTAGGCCACTTCATTGTGAATCATGAAAGGGTTGGAAAGGTGATTAAATCCCTAAGCACACTGATACCCAAGCTTATCAAAGTCTGAAGAGCTCTTGAATTCATGGCTGAAAGATCTACTTGAATATTTCTAGGTCCTTCTTGGCCTGTGGGTCCATTACAGGGAAACACTTGTAAGATTGCAATGGTTTGTAATGTTATTCCCTGTTTAAAATGTTGCACGTGATTCTTGACTTGGTATTTAAACTCAGTAGTGCAATAGCTATAATAATTTTGCCTCCTGTCTACCAGTCAGTCTTATGTTACAGGATCTTTCCTGGCACTACTAAAAACATCCTCTCGCTAAAACATTTTTTCACTGGGGGCGCCTGGGTGGCGCAGTCGGTTAAGCGTCCGACTTCAGCCAGGTCACGATCTTGCGGTCTGTGAGTTCGAGCCCCGCGTCGGGCTCTGGGCTGATGGCTCAAAGCCTGGAGCCTGTTTCCGATTCTGTGTCTCCCTCTCTCTCTGCCCCTCCCCCGTTCATGCTCTGTCTCTCTCTGTCCCAAAAATAAAAAATAAACGTTGAAAAAAAAAATTAAAAAAAATTAAAAAAAAAAAAACAACATTTTTTCACTGGCTTGATAATTTTCCATTCTTTTCATGTCCAAAGGTCTTAACATGGCATTCAGTGTCTGTCCCTAGCCTGTCTTTCCAAATTTTGACTCCCTAATCCATAGCCTGACCCTCTGTTTCAAGAAGGGTTTTTTAGGGGCGCCTGGGTGTCTCAGTCGGTTGAGTGTCCGACTTCGGCTCAGGTCATGATCTCACGGTCCATGAATTCGAGCCCCGCGTCGGGCTCTGTGCTGACAGCTCAGAGCCTGGAGCCTGTTTCAGATTCTGTGTCTCCCTTTCTCTCTGCCCCTTCCCCACTCATGCTCTGTCTCTCTCTGTCTCTCAAAAATAAATGTTAAAAAAAAATTAAAAAAAAAAAAAAAAGAAGGGTTTTTTAGTCATTGATACTAAATCATGTCTTGCTCAGCCTGTCTGGTATGCATCTTTTGGTCTGTACTCTCTAATTATATTTTCTATCTCTGAACCCCTTTTTACATAATCTACAGATTAGTAGTTTTCATTGATAGTGTTTCCTGGTATTTCAAAATACTTCCCATGTTCCTCCCATTAGATTAAAATTTGGGAGGCAGTGAGGTTTGATTTCATGTAGCATCTGGAAATGGTTTTACCCCTATTATAGCAATCCATGTTGTGCTGAATAAATGTCTTAATTTTGATTTTATATTTCTTAAAACTATGAATTGTTAAATTGCATTGTCTTGTTCATATGCCCGGTTATAATGTCTAGAATAAAACCTTGGATTCCATGTGGGGGAAAATACTTTGCAGGGAAGTAAGAAGACAGAAACTCTAAATTAGCTTCATGATAATGGAATATGGATCTCGATATGCAAGTGAGTGATTTAAGAACTGTGAACTATTAAACTCCACACCTGATTTACCACATCACCCATGTTATACTAAGTATAAAATGTGCAAACAGGGAAAATACATTTTGCAAATCTATAAATGCCTGTCGATTTCTGTAAAATCATTAATACAAGTAACTTTTTGAGTATAATTTATCTTCCTTCAACACACTATTATTTGTAGGTATAAATCAAGACAACTTCATTTATATGATACACAACACATACCATGATCTTGACCTTTTTGTCTTACTCTTTTTGTCTGGGGGGAGAACTTTGAGAAACTTCCTCATATTTTTTCAGGCCTCACCTCTATCAGGGGATGTAGGAAGTGTCAGACATGTTCAGATCCATGGTCCAGTCTGAGTCCGTCCAGAATATTGTCTTTGGGGGCGGGGGGAGTAAGAGAAAATTTGACTATAATGTCAAAAAAGCATGTTCCTCTCACAAAATAATTCCAGTGTCCTCTGCAGAGGGTCACCGATTTGCTGGTTTTGGAAAAAGCAAGGCAGGATGGTATGATACCGTCTAGGCTCAATATGTTTCATTTCTGAGAACTCCCGGTTACAGTTCCTGTCATGATATAAATACCCATGGAAGCCGGGACCACAGACATGTCACTACTAAATGATAGCAACACTGAATCAAAACAATTTTGCTCAAAAAAGGGCTAGAACAAAAGTAAAGTTGGTATGCAATTTAGATCAGAAGCTTTGAAAGAGTGACAGTTTGAAATATTTTTTAAACCGAAAATTTCAAGAAAGCTTTTATGAATATTGTAATAGCATTTTAAACAGATGATTTACATAGAAGTAAATACACTTTCAAAAGGATGTTGGCCTTTATAATTACATGTAGCCCTAGAAAATCTAGAGTATCAACATTCTGAGGATTCAACCATAGTGTAATTAACATATATTTGTTTGTTTTGCACATTGGGGGCTCTTTCATTTCATTAAGGCAACAGAATGCACATTCTTAATTTCTCGCTTGCTTCTTCAGGAGCATCCAAAGTTAAAAGTGCTATTTCATTAGGCTCTGACCTTTATAATTCTGCCTCTAAACAACATCCTTATTAGTAAAATATGATGGAAGTGCCTGTAGGGTAGAAACAATGAATATTTATTTAGGTACTGGCTTTTGGCCAATTTTTCTGTACCCTAAAGGCATAAATATTATATACCAGAGCATTTAAATTCCTGTGCAGTTAGGATTTTTTTTTCTTATCACATTTGTGAAAGTGTCTGTGTGACACTTTGAGGAACTCATTTGTCAAAGGCTGACCTGTGCTTGGAAACTATAATAGGCATTTCTATTCAATCATGAAATGTTAAATAGGTATAAATTCTGGTTAACCACCTTAAGTTAAATAGTTAAAATATAAAGGAGGGTGTGCCCATTACTTCGGTCTCTTAAATTTTAGCTAAGTGGCTTCTATGAAACAGAAGGAAGTAGTTAAAATGAATATAACTTGCATCCCTGAAGTCAGTCTTTGAGACGGAGTGTTGAAAGCTGGCAAGCAATTTTTTTTTTTCAGAACATTGTCTTTGTTGTCATTAGGCTTTCCTGTGGAGAATGTGTTTGCCACACCTCTCAGCAGAACCACCATAATTGAATGAACAGGTAAGTTGAATTATGGATGTCGAAGTCACATCTTGCTAAAGGGAACCAATAGCATTACTTTCAAAGCTGTAACATCTCCTTGAACAAAATGCTGGGGCTGTTTCAATGCAATAGAATCCCCATAGTATTTTTTCTCATTTCTTGATTTTTAAAACGACTCGCGACTGCATCGCCATGGCTACAGTGCTCACATCTGCAGATCATTTGTCAGTGACGAGGGACAGCCTGAGAAACGTCCGGTATTCATCCCCTGCCCTTCTTTGCTACTACTTTTAACCTTTGTGTTTGCGCATAATACTCATTTCTCCTTAAAAGTTTTTACTAAAGCGTTAGGCGGTTATAAAACGAAGGGACTGAATTTTTAGTAATTTTTAGTAAGTGTTGTGTACAAGTAGGAACTTCATGCGTCATTTTGATACTAAACTTCTCAGCATTAGTTAAATGTACTTTTTCTTCCTGTGAATTTGAAAACACACTGCAAGTGTCCCCTATGACGTACTTCCATCTCCTTGGCCTTACTTTTATTTGGGTATAGCCTTTCTTACGGTATAACCCCCAATACCTAACCTCTGTATCAACCAATTTACTGCTGCTTATCCGGTATACAATAAAGGGCAGTTATTGCCAAGTAGCATTCACTACCGACATAAACCACGGGCCTACACGTTCCGTAATAATTTCATAAATTACCTATACCCCGGGCATGGAGATAAACTTACTCAGAAAAGCCAGATATGTGGATATGAATTAACTATGTGCAGTCAATGCAAATAGTGGTAAGAAAATAAGTCCTTTGTAGAAGACGGTAACTACAAACAAGTAGCCAGACAAGGAGGAAGAAGTTGTGGGGGAAAATATCCATGAGATTGCAGGAGCCATTTGATTCCAGTAAGAAGGTTCTGTGCAAGAAGGAGAGGAGGCCATGCAAGCCCAGAGTTTGCCTGACAGGAAGGAAGGTTGATTGAAGAGTGTGAAGCCAATCATCAACAAACAAATTGGCTTCCTCTATGTGCAGGGAAGAGGGCTAGGTACAGGAGAGAGGCGTTTCTGAGATGAGAGAGGGTAGTCCTAACCCTTCAGGAATGGAAAGTCCACAGAGAAAGGCAACATAAAAGAAAACCCAACAGTATCAGTGGAAAGTACAGTGCTTGAAAGTCACGTTGAGAGGTTTGGATAATAGAAATCCCAGGAAGCCAGGGACTGGTGAGCAATATATCATATGAGATAATGGATATGAAAATGCTGTGTAAACTGCCAGGTGATGTAAAAATGTGAGATAGAATCATTATGTGGCTCACTAGAAAGAAATCTACAGTTTTCTGGCTAGCCCTTTTGAAAGTGATGTATGAGTTAGCCTGGGGAGCTAGAGGTTATAGATCCAACCACCAGTCGGATAATGGCAGCTGAAGCTGACAGGATAACAAGGAGAGCAAGAGTCCGGGATTGTTAGTGAGAATTTGCATTTTCTTCATATTACGCCTTCAAACAGAGTTCCTAATATTCACAGCAGCTAATAACAGGAGTTCATAGTTAGTTATGCTTCTAATGATACATTTACAGTGCTCCCCCAATTACTATTACTGACGGTAGAGTTCTCAGCCTGTCCACAGGCTGGTTAACATGCGTATATAAACCATATTATCTGCATATGTGTCAACAGTGGTTACCAAGCTCCCCTGGAATTCTATTAGTAAAAATAAAAATTCATACCCAGTATAAATATTTATAAATCCCTCACATGTATTTTATACTAATATATTGTGTGCCTTATAAAACATTCATAAAACTAAAGGCAAAAAGGAGAAGAATAAAATATATTAATTGAAGTTCTTTTTTTTTTTTTTTTACTGTGCTCCGTAGATCATCTCGCACACCCAGAATTCTGAGTTTGCACCTCGTTTTGATGACTGTTGAATGACACCGTGCCATAGTCCGTGACCGTTTGTAGTAAGCAAGGAAATGCTATTAGAACACCCATGTTCATTTCTTGCTTGAGAGACCTATATGGTTACTTCTCTATGTAGCATTCTTAACAAGCACACACTGTTTTCTTTATATATCGCTATCTGCTAGGTGAGGACATAGAAACTGCTTCGACTTTCAGCCAGTTTTGTGGTTTCAGGCAAGCCCTCTAGCAAGATGGGGCTTGGGGGCAAACAAATAATGAGTGAAGGTCAGTGAGATTTTTGTTTCAGCAGGAGCTGGCGGGCCCTGTAGAACAGCTTCCGTCTGTGAATACAAACAACACATGGAGCCAGCCCTGACCATTGGGCATGTTTTCCAAGACCTTTGTGGATGCCTTAAATGGCAGATGGTACCGAACCCTACCTATACCATGTTTTCTCTATTCATGCATACATACACACGGTGAAGTTTGTATGTTGGGTCACAGTAAGAGGTTAGCAACAATAACAATAAAACAGAATGGTTTTAACATCAGGTCATAATAGAAGATGCATGCATACGTGGTCTCTCAGAATATCTTAATGTATTGTACTCAACCTTGTGATGCGTGAGAGGACAAAATGCTCGGAGGACGGGCTGGAGTGGGGTGAATGAGGTAGGAGTTGTGTTGTAGCGCCAGGCTGTGTTGAGCACTGGTTAATAAAGACCAGACCCTCAGATAGGGGTTCAGATGAAGCAACCTACTGTAATATGGGTTTAACCCACCCAGGCAAGGCCATAGCACAATATTGGAACTTGTTCCTGTTTCGATTTTGCATTTCAGCAGCTTAGATCATTGCCTCTTCAATCATTTCTCTTTTATGAAAGGTACTTATAAGAATCTGATAGTCTACCCTTGAGTGCAAGTTATAGTATTTCCTGGTATTTTGTATGATTGATAGTGTATTTTTGGCATCTAATTTCCAGGGTGTTGATGAGTCCTAAGTCGTGTGTATAAGTAACATATATCACTCTTGTTGGTATCCTAGTCGGTTAAAGCATGTGCTTAAATGGCATATATCTGATTTTATACGTCTACATTATACACACAACATTCCAACACTAAACAGAGCATTATTTCTTTCTAGGTGCTTGGTAAGGAATATAATTAAAAAAAAAATGTCTGAGGATCTAATGTAAAACATGGGATTCCAGTAGATAACAATGTATAATGTAATTGAAGTTTGCTAACAGTAGGAGTTGAATGTTTGGTGATGGTTGTGTTATTTAACCAGATGGGAGGGAATCCTTTCGTAAAATATACGTACATTAAATCACCGCAGTGCACACTTGAAATTTATTACAAATTTGTATGTCAATTATAACTGAAATTAAAAATAACGAAGTAAAACAAGACTTAGGACTGTCTTCAGAAGTTGGAGAAACCAGAATAGGGATATCCAGGAATTGGCAACTAATTAGACCATTTCCTCTGGAGCGTGAAGCCAGAGTAAGTCAAAATAGTTATGTACTATGAGAGAAGCCATTTTAATAATGCTAGAATGCAACCTATAGCTGGGAAACCCAGGTGTAGGTCTGAAGCACGTGGTGTAGAAAACAGAGTTGACAGGGGATGACTATTCTGTGTTGGGAAACAGGATTCATGCTTTTATTTTTGTTTTTTTTTCCACTGGTGTTCACTATAGGGAACCTCTAGTAACCACAGATCTGATCTTTCTCGGGGGCTGTTTTATTGTTGTTGTTTTTATAATCTACATAAGTGAGATCATGCACTATCGGTCATTCTCTGACTTACTTCACTTAGCCTCATGCCCGTGAGGTCCAACCATGTTATTTCAAATGGCAGGATTTCTTCCTTTTTTTTTTTTATAGGTGGATAATACTCCTTTGTTTATATACCACATCTTCTCTATCCCATACGTCTACTGGTGGATGCTTAACATTTCCATGTCTTGAGTATCTCCAGTAATACTGCTGTGAACATGAGGACACAGATATATTTCCTGTAAATGTTCCTGGATGTATTTCCAGAAGTGGAATTGCCGTGTCATAGTTCTATTTTCTAACCTTTCAAGGAACCTGAATACTGATTTCCATAAGTGGGTGTACCAATATATAATCCCGCCAGCCATGCACAAGGGTTCCTCTTTCTCTATAATTTTCCTGGCATTTGTTATCGCCTATTTATTGTTGTTGTTGTATTGTTTTGTCTTGATAACAATTCTAACAGACATGAGATGATATCTCATTGTGGTTTTGATTTGAATTTCCATAATGATTGGAGATGCTCATGTATCTGCTAGTTGTCTCTAGATCTTTGGGACAATGTTTGTTCAGGTCCTCTGCCTATTTAATTGGATTGTTTGTTTGTTTGGCTATTAAGTTATAGGACTTACTTACATATTTTGGATATTATCCCCTTATCAAATACATGGTTTGAAATTACTTTCTCCTATTCAGTAGGTTGTCTTTTCATTTTGTTGATTGTGTTTCTGTACAGAAGTCACCCATTTCCTTTTGGGTCAGGGAAAGGGAAGACGATCGTAGGCCATTGCTGTAGTGGACAATGAATCAAATTGTTGAAAATTCCTGGGAGTTGTTCCTACATCATAGACAATGACCTTTCCCAAACTTTGAATTATCAATAGGAGTAAAATGTTGTCTGGCCTAGGGGATCCTCTGGTTTTTGAGAATAATTCCCAGGGGAACTGGCAGCTTCATCTACGGGAACAGCGCTCTCCAGCACCCAGAAAGGAGCTGTTGGTTTACGACATAAACCTCAGCCCACATCAGCACCATCCTGTCCCGCTGCATTTTGCTTCTTTGAAATCAAACCCACAGCAGGTTGCTTTTCCATCACTTTTGGTCTTCAGCCTTTATTTTTAGTTCTTGTGACCAAGAAAAAAGGAAAACCATTCAATAGAGTCTCCTAGAATACTGTTGAAGAACTGTCAGGTAACCGCTTTAACAGGTTTCTCCGGTATCCTGGTCTGTGAAATGAAGATGTAGAGAGCCCCCCCTCAAGCTTCACAACTTTGGAGATGGTCCTTTCAGAGCCCACTCCCCTCCTAAGAAAATGGCCTGTATTCTTGCTCCCATGTTCCTTCAAATGTCTCCCTGCTTGAAGTTTAAATGAAACTCAAGAAACTGTAATTTTCAGACCTTTACTCTATCAATCTCATGATTTTACTGCTGGAACCAAATGAATCAATAGTAACCATCAAACCATCCCATGCATCAAGCAAGTAACCCTAGGAAACACAAAATATAGAAGGAATCAATGACAGGCAATGGATGTTTTATAGCCCATCATTTAATGCCTTAACTACAGTAGGCGCTCATTTAAAGATATTACTTTGCTCCAGCAAACAATAAAAGCAACTGAGTATTTATGTGATTGTTGCCAAATGCAGTGATCCCATCACAGTGATTTAAGGAGACACAATTGCTGCCCTTCACCAGTGGGGTTTATTTTTTATACCCTTGAGAGAGTGGTCAATATTGTTGCAGTGAAAGCATCTTTACACATGACTAACTAGCTGGGAGAATAAAAACAGATTGGGAAGGAGTAACCACATAATCATCCAAGGGCAAGTGGTGAATTTGGAGCTTATCAAATTTGTGGATTTGGGGGCTAAACGTGAGCTATGTCACAATAATTTATAAATAAAGGAAATGAGATTTCCTTATTATATAATAACACTAATACATATTGAATTCAATATATATATATAAAATATACATATTGAAATATATATTGAAGTTCTCTCTCTCTCTCTCTCTCTCTATATATATATATGTTGCGTTTCTGTACTCTCTCTATATAGATATATCTATATCTATATATATAGATATCTATCTATAGATATCTATCTATCTAGCTATCTATATATCTATATCTATATCTATAAACAGAGAGAGAGAGAGGGAGAGAGGAGTGCTCTTGGGAAAGGATGCCTAGTAGAGATTTTTATCTACATAAGTCACAGCCCCATTGTGTCCTGAACCATCTGTCACTTGAATAATTTCTTTGTGTATGTCAGGAAGTGAGGATTTTATGGTTGGGGTTAAAGATCTGAGACCAGTTTTCTATTACTGCCAGTAATGGAGAGAGAATGTCATCCTTGGCTGTAGCCGATGGTGGGTGGGGTTGCGGGGGGACGGGGGGGGGGGGAGATGCCTTAGGAGCTACTGCTTCCTCAAATTCCCCACCCTCAAATTGAACATATTCATTCGTTTGCTCATTCACATTCATTTATTCATTTATCGGTCTCTCCACTGAGTCAACAAACCCTCATTGAACCCATTCTTGGTGCTGAGTGTATTGTTAAGACACAATGTCCCGTTGTGCATTCTGGAAGTTGATGTGCAGTTCTTGAGATAGATTCTGGGCTCTTGTTTGCATGGTCCACAGCCTTCCTCAGTCTGGGTGGGCTAGAATTTCTGCCACCATTCTCTTGTCCTATCTCCCTCTCTTTGTACAAAGCCTAAAAACTTTGAGGCTAAAAACTAAGTATGCCTTGAAACCAAATCCACATAACAGGACCTATGGATAATGAGTAATTAACAGAGTGTAGACTTGGGCTTTGTTAGAATTTGGGTTTTAGAGGAGATTACCTCTGGACCTTCTTCATAGAAAAAGTCATGTCAAGCACTATGAACTGTAAGCTTTGTAAGCAAAAATAGAAGATTAACTTTTTCTCTAAGATTCAAGACTGTCATGTTATTTGGCCAGCATAAGTAATTATTTTCTAATGACACTAAAGGGATACCAAAGTGTTGCAAAGACATTAAACCCACTTGCCCTCCTCCTGGCACCTTAAATGTATCTCTATGGTTAGGAGTTTCACAGTGCCACTCGGAGATGAAGCCAGTTGAGCTAAAAGATGGGAGTGCACAGATCACTCTGAGCATAAACTTTTTAGGAAATTGTTGGAGTCGTTGGATTACACATAAATCACTTGAAAGTATTTGATGAAAATGAGAAACTTTATCTTTAATGGGGTTTCTGGGTGGCTCAGTCAGTTGAGCGTCCAACTTTGGCTCAGGTCATGATCTCACGGTTTCTGAGTTCGAGGCCCGCATGAGGCTCTGTGCTGACAGCTCAGAGCCTGGAGCCTGCTTCGGATTCTGTGTCTCCCTCTCTCTCTCTGCCCCTCCCAGGCTCATGCCTGTCTCTCAAAAACAAACATTAAAAATAATTTAAAATGGTTTTAAAGACAACGGTATTTAATTTATTTA